CAGCCACAGCTACAGCCTGCCTCCCCTTTGCCTGCTCCTTCTCCCTACGCTGGTCCGACTGGAGGTCTTACTGAGCGTCGTGAGCCTGCGTCTCGTCCTGTGTCGCCTGTTCGTACTGAGCGCGCTAGTGGTCGCGGGTCGCGTCAGCGTCCTCCTCCTGTCCCTGGCACGCACCGGATGTCACTGCGTCCGTCCACTGCCCCTCTGCGTGCCCCTTTGCCTTCTCCTCCTGCTTCCTCTCTTCCTGCTCTTGCCGACCCGGAGTCGGACGCCCTTCGTGCTGCCAGTCCTACTGTCACGCGTCTCCTGGCTACTGCTGTCACTGACCCCTCCTTCGAGTCGTCTGCTGCATCTGCCCTTGTCACTGAGCTTGTCGACTTTGCTGCGCGCTGTCGTCTAGACTACGCTGCTCGTCTTGTCACTGAGTCTGAGTCCGCCTGTCCTCCGTCCGTCGGGGGTGAGTGTGCCCTTGGCACGGATGTCCTTGAGGACAGGCAGGAGGAGTTCCAGTGTCTGGCCGCCGCTTCACCTCGTCTCGCGTCTGTACTGCTAGCCCCTGAGGGAGACCCGGATGCACCAGACATCCCGACTCCGCGCTCTTACGCGGAGGCGATAGAGGGTCCCTACTCCTCTCAGTGGCAGGCAGCTATGGATGCAGAGATGGCTTCCTGGAAGTCCAGAGGCACCTACGTTGACGCTGTTCCCCCTCCTGGGGCGAACATCGTCAGTGGCATGTGGATTTTCAGGGTGAAGCGGCCGCCGGGTTCTCCGCCTGTCTTCAAGGCGCGTTACGTGGCTCGTGGCTTCAGTCAGCGGCAGGGGGTTGACTACTTTCAGACCTTCTCCCCCACCCCGAAGATGACCACTCTTCGGGTTCTGCTACACGTTGCTGCTCACCGTGACTACGAGCTGCACTCTCTCGACTTCAGCACAGCTTTCTTGCAGGGCAGCCTGCACGAGGAGATCTGGCTGCGTCGCCCACCTGGCTTCACTGGGTCTTTCCCTCCTGGTACCCAGTGGAGTCTCCGGCGTCCAGTCTACGGTCTCCGCCAGGCGCCACGTGAGTGGCACGACACACTGAGGACTACGCTCGCGGCACTTGGGTTTGCTCCTTCCACTGCCGACCCGTCGCTGTTTCTGCGCACCGACACCTCTCTGCCGCCGTTCTACATCCTCGTGTACGTCGACGACTTGGTCTTTGCCACAGCTGACACTGCTGGACTCGCCTACGTGAAGTCCGAGCTGCAGAAGAGACACACGTGCACTGACCTGGGTGAACTGCGCAGCTACCTTGGCTTGTAGATCACCCGGGACAGAGCACGCCGCACCATTACCCTAACTCAGTCACACATGGTGCAGCAGGTCCTTCAGCGCTTCGGCTTCACCTACTCCTCGCCTCAGGCCACTCCTCTGCCTACTCGCCACTCGCTCTCAGCTCTGCCTTCGGATGAGTCCGTAGAGTCGAGTGGCCCGTTTGCAGAGCTTGTTGGCTGCCTCATGTACCTGATGACCTGCACACGACCTGACCTCGCATACCCTCTTAGCATTCTCGCACGCTTTGTTGCTCCTGGGAGACACCGACCAGAGCACATGGCTGCAGCGAAGAGGGTGTTGCGCTACTTGTGCAGTACGTCGGGCATGGGGCTAGTGCTTGGAGGGCGCAGTCCAGTGGTCCTCACTGGGCACGCAGACGCTTCTTGGGCTGACGACCAGGCTACGCAGCGGTCGTCACAGGGTTACACCTTCAGCCTTGGTTCCGGCTCTGTCTCGTGGCGGGCTACCCGCTCGTCTTCTGTTCTCGGCTCCAGTTGTGAGGCTGAGATCTACGCTGGGGCTATGGCTGCACAGGAGTTACGCTGGCTCACCTACCTGCTGACCGACCTTGGAGAGCAGCCTCGTTCTCCTCCAGTCCTGTACGTAGACAACAAGGCCATGCTGGCCTTGTGTCGAGAGCAGCGACTGGAGCACAGAACGAAGCACATTGCTCTTCGTTACTTTCTTGCTCGTGAGCTACAGCAGCGTGGACAGCTGCGACTTGCGTACGTGGCCTCTGAGGCCAACACTGCTGATGTCTTCACCAAGGCACTTGCGCCTTGTGATCATCAGCGTTGCTGCACGCAGTTGGGTCTTGTGCCTGTCTTGCCTCACTTGCTCTCCTCTTGACCTTGCTTGTACTTTCGCATATATATACTCTTGTTCTTGTATATCTCTATATATGATCTTGCATGTGAACTGGCCTTGTGGCCTTTGAACTTGTGCTCGGAATGCGTGGTGACTTTGTGATCCACCCTGAGCTTTGCTTTGCTTTGCTTGACTGGTCTTGTGACCCCTTGTTCTCCCCCACTTTGCCTATGGGGGTGTGTCAGAACTTATAGCTTACTTGTTTCTGTAGGCTATAGTGGGGTATCCCATAGGGGGTACAACCCAATTAGGGTTTCCTATTTGTACTCACTTCGTTCATAGTCATTTCATTCTCGTTCTCTGTTTCACACATATAGGAAACCCTAATTGAGTTGTACTCGCTATAGAGTATCCCATTGTAGGCTAGACAATTATAACATTCTGACACCTGCCACATTCCCAAGACAGCACGTCAAATTGTTGTGCGACTCGAGTTACAGCCAGGTACAAGGAAGAATCGTTTCTGTGATTGAGGCTGATACTGGATTTTTATTTCTATTTTTTCATGAAATTTCGACATATGAATTGAATCCACGCGTGTTCAGCTACACGACTTGGTTCGTTAGTGTTGTTTCAAATCAATGCTGGTACAAGAAACTTGCCTGAACAATCAGTCATTATACCGTATGCAGAAAAACACATTCCAATCAGCCTTACGCCCCAAGAAAATCATGAAAAAAAGCTTTTCAATAGCAAATCAACGTTTTTTTCCTTACTTCCGAGGGCCTGATAGCCATGTACTCTACGGTGTGCATTCCCTTATCAGAGCGAAGTTCAAACCGTGCGACGCGGTTCCTGCTCTTTTCACTTCAAATGCTTCTACTTGCAGCGGTATTGATTTGACGGTTGCTGGTCTCGCTTCGATCCTTCGGACTCATCGACTTTGTACTCGGTAAAGTCAAATCCTGCAGCATACAGGAATGCCATAATCATTTTTCATTTTGTAAAAGGTTTGAAGGATTATGCAAATCAATAGATAGTCCTCTCTAAGAATTATGCACCCCTGGTGTTAATCAACCATTTGTTTGAATCTACATAATAATTGTTTATCCCAGGATTATAACGGCGCACACCGAACGGTACAAATGGCGGATGCGCTCTATGGGCCGCACGCGCCCGCGCGGAATGCTTAGAGGTCCACATCGCGGAGGGTGTATGATGACGGGCTTCTGTTTTGAGAAAAAGCATTCGCACGCGACGGTCTGCTTGCAGCATGTTTTGTGCACCTGTGTGAACCCATTCTCTGTGTGGCTCTGTAGTCAACAAGTGGACAGTCTATCAAGTGTACCATTTCCCTAAAGCACAGCTGCCCGTAAGTATTCTGATGGGGTCAGGGGTGGTGGTGGGATGAAAACATCGAGATGCCTTTCCGACTCGCGAAAAGGAACCATAAAGGCATTCATCCATAGTGTGTGGTGTGGCATGTACCTGAAATAAAAGGTCATCCGACATCCTAAGTCTGTGGTGTGGAGCTCTCGCTGAATTGCATCAATAAGGCCTTGACATCTCCCAGGAATTTTATTGGTCAAAGGGTTGCACGACGCGGAAAACCAGGAGCAAGTGCTGATGCTCCAAGCGACCTAGACCACTTCAGGAAAAAATATGACGTGGCATTTGCATGGCAATCATTTCGAAGATAGTCACGTGACCTTGGATACGAATGACGTTAGGCAGGCCAGCCACACGACTGATTTTTTTTACAGAACAACCAGCCCTGTCGGAAACATCCAGTATTTCGTTTTGCTTATTTATTCAGGTCGGTGCACCCTTCTCCAAACGAATCAAAAGCAGTGATGCTCACTGAGTTAAACCTATCAATTCTGTTACCACGACCGAATATTCGACACATTGCTGTCCACCTTGGAGGAATAAATACTCTCAATTATGAATGTTTCAACTCGGCTCAAGGCTTTGGATCTGGAGGGAACAGGTCGATTAACCTTCGAACCATGAGGACTTGGCATCTGTTGGCTGGAAAAGCAGATTCTTGTGCTGATCCTGGAGCCTGATTCGTGCTTCCACATATCTTCCTTTGGATGGCTCGTCTGATGTGGCAAAACCCAATCGAGTGATCGAGCACTCGAGAATTCCACCTTCTGGCGCGCTATGCGGCAGTGCTTCGCCGTTGCTTCTAGAATGTCTGTTGTGAAATTTTGATTGAAATTGAAGTGACTCTGTTGAAGGTCCGCTGGAATTTTTGCTGTACCATCGGGCTGCCCACAGTCGTCCAGATTCACTTTCTAGGGCACAGGAAGACCATGTCAGTTGGGACCCTCTTGTGGTGCCAGAGCGCCAGATACATTCCTCAGGCTGCCCATGAGCAGCAGCCATCACTTTTTCTCTGACCGACTAACTTTCCAATCCCAACACGCTTCAGGGATGGCTGGGGGGGCAGCCTCGGGAAAACCCTCGAATTCCCCAAGAAACCATCCCCGAGGCAACGATGTTGCTGTGCGGTGTACAGTGCTGAATTCTGCCAGGAACGGAACCGACGGAACAGAACGGTGACGGAGTTCCACATGAGGCGGGCGCAAAATCGGGGGAGGGGGAGGGAGGGGTAAGGAAAGGACTTGTTTCCCCACTTCCCGCTTTCTTCCAGTTTGCCAGAGCCCCAGAGGAGCAGTCCGTCTGTCCTTATCCTCAGGCGAGGTGATGTCAGTGGGCTGTGCCAGGCCACATATGAGATCCCCTTTCCCACATTGTTGGTTGGCACATTCACACATTTCAAGCTCTTCAGCTACATTGTGCCCAACCCAGAGAAAGCTTGCTTGTTTTCTCTGGCTAGAGGGTTTCAGAGTCTTTCACGCCTCTACGTTGCAATGGCAGGAATAGTGTCCGCAGCACCTGTTTCACTGGTGGAGATTAAGGGAAAGCCTGCGAAGCCTGCAAAGTCGTCGCAGAATGAAAAGGGGAAGGATAAGACGCAGAAGGCGAACGAACAACGCCTGGGGATCCGGGACCCGATCATCGCCAAAAAGCAGGGGTCTTCGCAAAAGGGCTCTTGTAAGACCGACGGAAAGCTTCAGCTTTCGAAATCCACGGAGTCTTTGGCGACGACAGATTCTATGAAAGGAGCCGCTTTGGCCGATCTTTTGGCGTCGGACGTTTCGGAGATGGACACGAAATTCTCCGTCACAGCCGCTGCCGAGCCTGCTGATAGCGATAAGGTTGAATCGGACTGCCTGGAGCGGTTACCACACGGCAACTCTGCGTCCGCCAGTAGTCCGGCGAGGGAGGGGACAGCGGAATTTCAAGGGAAGGACGCAGCGTTGGCTGCAGCAGCAGATGACCTGGAAAACTGTGACATTTCTTCTTGGCCAGATTTTTCGCTGGATTCATTCGACGGCGGAGAAATAGATGAGCTGGACATGGCAGGTTCGCTCATTTTGCCGGAGCTCGAGGAAATGTCTCAGAAGGACCAGTCGCAAGCAGAGCCGGAAGCCAGTGCCGATACGCGCCCGTCGGAGACGTCCTCCAAGAGTGTTCAGCAGAGCGAGCAGTACGAGTCGTCGTGCAAGAGCGGGAGCAAGACTTCCACGGGAAAGAAAAAGGCCAAGGTACGTCGTCGGGTGTCATACCTAAAATTGACCATATCCTCATTTTCACTATCGTGATATTTCATACACCAGCATCGCTAAATTTCCAACCTTGGTGTATTTTCGCATCTCCAGGTTGACTGGACACCGGAGCTGCACAGAAGATTCGTCCTCGCGGTAGAGCAGTTGGGAGTTGAGAAGGCCATTCCGTCTCGGATTCTGGAGCTCATGGGAGTGAAGTGCCTCACCCGGCACAACATCGCCAGCCATTTGCAAAAGTACCGCTCGCACCGGCGGCATCTCGCCGCTCGGGAAGCCGAAGCCGCAAACTGGCACAGCAGAAAACCGTCCGATGGAGTGGTCTGGCCTGGCCAGGCAACAGCAGCACCAGCAACAGCAGCCCCTACTTCATGGGCTTATCCTACTACTGCGCCTGCTCCTAGCGGAGCGCAGTCCAATCCGCCGATGATTCAGCCCCGACCCGTGGTCGGAGTGCCGCCGTATCAGCCGTATCAGATGGCTCAGTCGCACATGCCGATGGCGCATCACCAGCCGTCGATGGCGGCGAGCCCCGCGCCCGCGACGGGCATGCCGATGCACGTGTGGGGACACCCGACCGTTGACCACTCGCGGTCGCACATGTGGCAGCAGCCGCAGCACCAGGCTGCGCCGTCTCCTTATCCTCCTCCCGCGTGGTTCGCTCCCGACGGCTCAGTCTGGCACTACGCTGGGGTGAGCTTACGTCATAATAGTCCTTCCCGTTCGCTCGTCGTCGTGCGTTAGCTCAGTCCTGCGTTGGTTCTTTCCGTCTTCCCCGTCATTATTTTTTCTCTCTCGTCCATTGTCTTCCTTTCTTGCTTGGCGTTCAGGTGCAGGCTCCGTCGCCTGCGATGGACGCGTGGGGACATCCCACCATGATGGTTTCGGGAACGCCCTGCTACCCCCACCAGCAAGCGCCCGCGCTCAGCTACCCTGTGGTGCGTGTTGCTTGCCTCGCCATCGCCGATGCCTAAAGGCCCGCGTTTTCATGTCCCAGTGTGGCCCTGCATTCTCGCGAAGTTGCCTCTGTTTTTTGGTCAATGACGTTCGTCCATCGTCCTGTTCTCCCGCTCCTCGTCGTCCTCATCCGATGCGAGTTCGTTGCCTCTATCATGCTCACCTTCTCCTTTATCCGCCTCTCTCGTCCGTCCCCATCGCGTACCTGCAGGCACAGGGTGTGGTGTGCGGAGCGCCTGTGTGCGGGCCAGGGGGAATGACCCACGGCACCATGCAAGGCATGCCCTCGTCCATGGGTGTTCCCGCTCAGGGCTCGGTCGCCATGGGCGCCGCTCCCGCCGGTGCCATGCCCGGGACCATGACCATGGTGGGAACCGTGAACGGGGCTGTGAACGGGACCATGGGAGGAACGATGGGGGGGGCTATGGGAGGGGCTGTGGGAGGCATGGCGCCGGCGCCGGCGTGTGAGACACTAGACATTGCGGACGAGGCGATGCCGAACCCCATGTTCCCCCTCCCGGACGACATCTCTCTGGACTTCGCGGCCATCACCGCCAGCCTTGGGGAGGACCTCATTGAGGTATGCTCGCTCCCTTGCTTGCGCACTCCCGCTCCCCCTCTTGCTCACGCATGTTTCCGCCTTGTATATGCGTTAGAACACAAGGTACACCGTAGTTTGACTAAGCAGCATTATTTCACGCTGTGGTTGTGCAGGCCAATGACATTCTTGATGCGGCGATCAGCGAAGCCCTAACCAATCCGTCGACACCACTGCCTCTGGGCCTGAAGCCGCCATCAGTGGATGGCGTGCTGGAGGAGCTCAACAAGCAGGGCATCACCATGCCGCCCGCCACCCCTGAGGCTCTAGATGCCCTCCCTGCTGCCGAAGTCGCGGCCGTTGCTTCCGAGCTGGAAGCCATTCTGGAGCCGTAGATGCCACTTTCGGTGATGCAGACAGCAGTTGGGAGGTGCGCGGAGCAGTTTTTTAGTTTAGCAGGTGGCAGGTAGATTGGAGAGTTGAACTTTGATGTGGAAGCATGGCCTTGAGACGTGTCTCTCTCAAGGCCCGCAGATGGGATCTTCTCTTCATCAACCGACAGTTGTCCCAATCCATCGATACCTCCGTCAGTTTTGATCAACTGACCAATTTGCCGATATATCAGCCGAGGGGTCCGAGCAATGCTGCTGCTTGGTGTGTTCCCCCTTTGAACTGCAAGGCGTGGAGCGACTTGAGTTGGAAGGAGAGCGAGTTGGAATGGTGGTGGAGCTGTGATGCGACTCCAGCAAGATGCTGAGCGAAAGTGAAGGTGCTTCAAGTGGGCCTTCAGAAGAAATAGTTGGTCTTGGTGGCATGAAGGCCAGTTTTGTTGGCATCTCTCATCTGCTTCCTACATTTTTCACTTCGTTGGGGGTGGGTTGCTTGGGATGCTTTTTTCCTTTCTTGTTCGCTGACTATCCTGCTGGGGAAAAATGGGGTTAATGTTATGAGACATGACTTCTGGGTGGATGTGGGCGGGTTTTTATCTGGATGGTTGGATTGCTTTATCTATCTTATCTGGTGGCTCTGCTTTGTATGGTCTGGGGGGTCAGGTGCTTCATTTGTCCCTCTTTCCAAACTTGTACACAGAAATGTAGTTTTGTTTCAAATACTCATAATTGCGTGATGTACCAGCCATTAGCTAATCACAATGTCTCCCGCACCGTGTAATATCCTCTCCCACTGATACTGATGAAAGTGGAAAGGAGGGCGACGTGAGTTCACACATATCTCACACATTTACAGTTCTAACGTGTGGACCGCTGTCGAGGTTCACCGTTTTTCACCGTGACGAAACGAAGTTGACCGCAGTGAGTGTACAGAAGTTGTGCAACCTGACGTCGCCCTGAAAGTCTCGTTATTTAAAAAACGCCAGGCCAGCGTTACCAGAGAAACGTGGATCACGTCTACTGCCAGCACGCTACAGCAGCTTGCTGGTGCTCTGCGGTACCTTTTCCCTACGCGTGTAACAGCATCGGGATCGCCGATAGGAGCGAGTCCTTTCCTGTCTGAGTCGTCGACATCGGCTTAGCAGTCGCCGGCATGGCCGCGTATCAGCCGCTGCAGCTCGCCGCCGAGCAAGACGATCGTCCGGAATTCGTTCGCCTAGGGTAAGAATGCGAAGAATGCAAGTTAATTGCGGAAAGAACGCGCGCAATTCAATGGTCCAGCTCGTTGCGACTTATCGACTCTAGTGGCCTTTCATGTAGTGATTTTCCGTGGGTGTTCGACTTCTTGTTACACTAACTCACCGCAAATCTGTTTTCAAACCCCAATCCTGTCAGGAGACGACAGTCCGACATACGCCAACGGCTAACTCCTGGACCCACCCCGGCCCCGAGCCACGCCTCCCCGCTCGTCACCTTCCCTGACTCCACCCCCCGACCGTCTGGCCGAAGCTTGGGCCAAGCCTCTGGTGCAGGCTCGGGGCCCGGGTTCGGCATCAACATAGGGGATTATTCTGGCGGTCTGGGGAGAGCTGATCAGGGGTATAGATCTCCTAAAGAGGTTCACGTCTCCCCATTTATTGTCACTCCCGGTTCTGGGCGTAGTGGGGGAGTCGGAAGGGACATTGGCGGAGATTTTCCGCTTTTCGGGGGAGAAATGAGCCCAGAATTGGCGTCAGTCGGGGGAACGGGGAAAGGGAGGGGGAGAGCGGAAGTGAACTCTGAGAGCCAGCCGCAGGTGCAACAAGAGCAGCAGCAGCATAGGCAGCGAACAGACAAGAAGAGGAGGGCTCGGCTGAAGATGCGAGCTGTGAGTCGTTTGATGCGAGCCGCGTGTGTCACACACTGCGCTGCACCCTGAAGCACCATATGCTGCACCCTATCGCACCGCTTTAGTCGCAGTCGCGTCTCAGTTCTGTCACATCACCACCAGCACCAACGAAACCACCACCACCTGCGGCTCACATGGTCACACCCACCACCCACCACCATCATCATCACTGTGATTGCCTGAGCTCAGTTCCGTCACAACGTTGCTACTATCACCGTGCTTGAAGTAGTGTTTTGAGACGTCTCAACTCAAAACACTACTTCAAACACGTGGTCACCACCTACGGCTCACATGGTCACCACACCACCACCCACCACCATCACCGTGATTGCGTCAGCTCAGTTCCGTCACACCGCCGCGATCACCGTGATTGCGTCAGCTCAGTTCCGTCACACCGCCGCGATCACCGTGATTGCGTCAGCTCAGTTCCGTCACACCGCCGCGATCACCGTGATTGCGTCAGCTCAGTTCCGTCACACCGCCGCGATCACCGTGATTGCGTCAGCTCAGTTCCGTCACACCGCCGCGATCACCGTGATTGCGTCAGCTCAGTTCCGTCACACCGCCGCGATCACCGTGTCACGCGTGCAGGAGGCCCCAGTGGAATTCGAGGACCGTGGAGAGGAGGTGTACGAGCGCTTTGAAGGCGTGCTGGCCGCTGCTGTGCGAGGTGAGAGGGGCGCTGGAGTGGTAAGTCAGGCGCTTGGCGTAGCTTCTTATCCTGGCCCTGCAGGCTCAGGCTAGCATCTCACCCTAACGGCCCCAGTGGACGCGTGGAGAGGAGGTGTATGAGCCCTTTGAGGGCGTGCTGGCCGCTGCTGTGCGAGGTGAGAGGGGCGCTGGAGTGGCAAGTCACGGAGAGGGGCAGTTGGAGTAGCTAGCTTCTTATCCTGGCCTTGCAGGCTCAGGCTAGCGTCCCTCTCTAGCATCATCCCCCAGTGGACTTTGAGGATGGCGGAGAGGAGGTGTACGAGCGGTTTGAAGGAGTGCTGGCCGCTGCTGTGCGCGGTGAGTCAAGCACTTGGAGTAGCTAGCTTCTTATCCTGGCCTTGCTGTTGCAAGAGGGTGTGCAATTGCGAGAGGTGAGTGGACACGGGTGAGAGAGTGCGCAGTGCAACTTACACAGGAGCATAGCTGTGCTGCTGTCCCTTTCCACAAGCTCTATCCACACATTGCTGCTCACCTGCTCGTCTCTGCAGGTGTGGTGGGCTACAGGGACTCTCTTTGGCAGTTGGAGCAGTGCTGCAGGGAGCTGGCGGTGGGGTTCCAGGCTGATGCAGGGGAGAGCGTGCAGTGCAGCGCAGCCCGCACAGGAGCACAGTGCACACAGCACACAGCAAGGCTATGCTGTTTCTCCGTACAAAAACTTGACCCACACGTTGCCAAGCTCCCCCTTCCCAGGCGTGGTGGGCTACAGGGACTCTCTTCGGCAGTTGGAGCAGTGCTGCAGGGAGCTGGCGGTGGGGTTCCAGGCTGAAGCAGGGGAGAGTGTGCAGTGCAGTGCAGCCCGCACAGGAGCACAGTGCACACAGCACACAGCAAGACTATGCTGTTTCTCCGTACAAAAACTTGACCCACACGTTGCCAAGCTCCCCCTTCCCAGGCGTGGTGGGCTACAGGGACTCTCTTCGGCAGTTGGAGCAGTGCTGCAGGGAGCTGGCGGTGGGGCTAAGGGTTGATGCAGGGGAGAGCGTGCAGCCCGCCCAGGAGCACACACCACGGCCATTGTTGCTTTATACAACCTGTTGCCACACATTGCGACTCTCCTCTCCCTTCCCCAGGTGTGTTGGGCTATCGAGAATCCCTCAGGCAGCTGGAGCAGTGCTGCAGGGAGCTGGCGGTGGGGTTGCGGGCGGACGCGGGGGAGAGCGTGCAGCCCGCCCAGGAGCACGTGCTCAGCAGGAAGAGCCAGGCGCTCCAATCAGAGGCTGCCACGTGGGCGCTCATGCACCACCTGTTTGGATACGGTGAGGAGCAGCGTTGCTGGTGCGCTTTTTGCCGGCTCCCTGCTTGCCTTCCTCTTTTGCCTGTGCTACCCTCCATCTTGTTCCAGATCTTGTTAAAAAACCAACCTAACTGTGCAGCCTACTGGTTAGGTTCCTAACATTTAGTTGGAACCTAACCTACTCCTTTTGCCGATGCCAATCAGTGCCCTTCTTCCTTTTGAGACGTCTCAAAAGTGCATTGTATTCCATGGATCGAACCTCACGGTCCTCACCTACTCCCTTTGCCAAGGCCAATCAGTGCCTTTCTTCCTTCCGTTTCCTCCTCATGTGCTTTCGTGCATGGCATGGCATGGCAAGAGCAGACACGGACCACCTGACGGAAGATGTGCGACTGGTGAGACTCTCTCTTCCCTCCACACGTATTCTCCACGTTGTTTGCTTCATGTCACCAATAAAATGTATGCCTCGAATTCTTCACCTTACCGCTTCTTTTTCCCTTCACACCACCAGTCACCCTTCTCGGTGTTTTCCGTTTTCTGCATGATTCCCTCCCTCTGCAACGTCAGCACCCGTCCCCGTCAGCACAGGACACGTGCGACTTTCTGTCGACCAATGAGAACGCGCAGCACAGCTGGCGGGTGCTGAGGTGGCTGGAGGGGCTGGCAGAGTCGGACCTCATGCTGCTGCAGGCAGTAGGTTGACCTGCATTGACCTGCGTTGACCAGTGTTGACCTGAGTTGACTAGACCAGTGGAACCTGCAAGGCTTGACCATAGCCGTAGAACACTTGGCTTAACCTGGCTGTCATCTCGATTTACCTGGCTTGATTTGGATTAAACTCCTCTGCACCTTGCTCTTCACCCGCACCACTCGCCCCCACCCTACTACCCACCCGGCCCACCTTCCTGTCCTTCCGTTCGCCTTCTCCTCCACATTCTCTCCTCCCCCAGGAGCGTGGCACCTGCCTGGGAAGCTACACAGAAGCTTCTGGCCTGCGTGTGCACACGCAGAGGGCGATTCGCGAGGGGCAGGGGGGGCTGGGCGGGATAGTGGGGCTGGGCGGCAGGAGGAGCAACGCGCTGGCGTTTGGTGGGCTGGAGGGGCGGTATGGGCGGGGTGGGGGAGAGGAGATGGTGACTGCTGTGGATGCTGATGCTGTTACTCGCGAGGGGGGGCGACTGCATGCAGAGGACGAGGTGAGCTCACTCGCATGCTCTCTCTCTCTCGTCCTTTTCTTGAGAGAGCTTGTCCTTTTCCTTGTCCTTACTTTCTCCATCCCCATCCTCTGCCTGCTGCTTCAACCTCACTTTCCCCAACGAGTGCAGGAGGAGTTGCTATCAGACGTCTTCACACTCGTCACCGCCAGTTCTTCTCCCCACCCTTTCCCACTTCCCCATCCCCCTCCTCATGTTCCGTACCTCACCCCTCGTCCTCTCCTCCATAGCTCTCTCACTTTCCCCAGCGAGTGGAGGAGGAGTAGCTATCGGACATATTCATGCTCCGCTCACCACTGCCACCATATGGGCCCTTGTTTCCCCCCACCTTCCCCTCCTCTCATCTTTTACCCCTCCCACTTCTCACAGCGAGTGGAGGAGGAGTTGCTATCGGACATATTCACGCTCACCACTGCCACCCCTCTAAACCCACCCACCATCTTCTCCACGCCTCACTCCATGCACGCTCCTTCCCCCAGTGAGTGGAGGAGGAGTTGCTATCAGACATCTTCACGCTCATCACTGCTGCTTCATGGCATCACCCCTCCCTTCCTCCCCTTCCTTCTTACCCTCTCTTTATTCCCCACTCTCATTCCCCTCTTCCCCTCCTCCTCCTTCCCCCAGCGAGTGGAGGAGGAGTTGCTATCAGACGTCTTCACGCTCATCACCGCTGGCCGGATTCAAGATGCCCTCAACCTCTGCCGGGCGGCGGGGCAGACCTGGCGGGCGGCGGTTCTCGGCGGGACATGGGCCGCGCCGCCCAGCGCTGGGGCGGCAGGGGAGAGCTTCCCCACAGCCGCCACGTGGCGGGAGATGAGTGGAGGGGCGAGGCGGGCGGCACAGGCGGGGGAGGTGGAGGGGGGGAAGGGGCGGGGAAGGCGGCTGTGGAAATGGTCTCTGCTGGTGGCGTCTGAGGCTTCGAGCAGTCGGTTTGAGGCGGCTGTGCTGGGAGCGCTGTGTGGCAATGTGAAGAGGATACTGCCTGTCTGCACGTCATGGCAGGTGCGCGTGTGTGTGTCTCCTTCAGAGGTGCCTTGCGGTGGCTGAACATGCCTGGGTTACATGGGGGATTAAGACGGGTGGAGGGGGGGGAGGGGCGGGGAAGGCGGCTGTGGAAATGGTCTCTGCTGGTGGCTTCTGAAGCTTCAACCAGTCGGTTTGAGGCGGCTGTGCTGGGAGCGCTGTGTGGCAATGTGAAGAGGATACTGCCCGTTTGCACCTCGTGGCAGGTGAGTGTGTGTGCTTAGGTTTGCACCTCGTGGCAGGTGAGTGTGTGTGCTTAGGTTTGCACCTCGTGGCAGGTTAGTGTGTGTGCTTAGGGCGCGTGTGGTCTGTTTAGAAGTTCAAAATAAAGTTCGAACTTTGGGTGGTTACCCTATTCGCTAATTTCGCGAAGGGTGCTTCGCGAACCAAGCATTGTATGGGCTCTGCAAAAGTTCGAGTTTGAAATATGAACTTGACTCGAGTCGGAGGCGCGAACGTGCGTGCTCACGTTCATGCGAGCGTGTGTGATTTGCAGCACGTCCGAACAGCTGGCGAAACGGGCGAGCGCTTCGCCAGTGCATGAAGTTGCACAACGAAGACACCCCACAATTCGTGCACACAGTTGTAGCCACGTGTCCAGCATACAAGGTGTTGCCACGGGGGCTATTTGTACCCTGGTTACACACTCGGGAAAGTATATCCCAGCTCCATAGTTTCAAAAATATCTCAAATTTAGTCTTAATTCCACTAAAAAAGTACAGCTTTCTGGAAGTTTGCTCACGCGAGGCCCAGATTATGTTCAAAACTGGTCCTGCGAGGCAAACTTTTCGACACGTGTCCTGTTTCTTATTAGCAATTTCTGACGGGGGCAAAAAACATAAAACCCCTAGGGGAACCAGGACACACGTTCGGGAGGGACCAACCCTAAACACGGGGACCCGCTTGGTGTTTAGGGTTGATCCCTCCCGCAAATGTGCCCTAGGTCCCGAGGGGTTTTATTATTTTTTGCCCCGTCGAAATTTTTTCAAAGCGAAATTGGACACGTGTCGAAAACTTCGCCCCGCAGGACCAGTTTTGAACATACTTTGGGCCTCGCGTGAGCGAAATTCTAGAAAGTAGTAATTTTTGAGTCGACCCGCGGCTAAATTTGAGAGAAATCTGAAAGTATGGACCTGGAATATAGTTTCCCTACACACTCGGCGCGGAAGGTGAGTTGGAGCTCTAGGTCCTTGTAAACCGAGGCGCAAAATGTTGACGTGGCGCACCGTCAAGACGAGCGAACCTGGTAACCTATGATGTTGACGTGCGGCTCGGCTCGTTTTTACAAGTTCGAATGTCGGGGTTCGACCTTGTATGTGTGTGTGATTTTTTACAGTGTGGTAAGCCCGATGTTCGAACTTCGATAGAAGGAAATTCGAACTTCTTTCGTTGTAAGTTCGAAACTAAAAATCGCCCTAAAAACATTAAACTTTTACAAATTTCAAAGACCTCACGCGCCCTTAGGTTTGCACCTCGTGGCAGGTGAGTGTGTGTGCTTAGGTTTGCACCTCGTGGCAGGTGGGTGCGTGCGTCTGTTTTTCAGAGGTGCCTTACGGTGACTGAGCATGTCCGGGCTACACGGGGGGCGAAGATGGGTCGAGGGAAGGGGCGGGGCAGGAGGCTGTGGAAGTGCTCTCTGCTGGTGGCAGACGCGGGGTGACTTTTGAGTCGACTTAAAAGCCAAATACAGGCTGGACGCGGTGTACATGTGATGTGGTTGCCGTGGAGCTTGTGGCTTGCATCTACTTCAATCCTTTTGGTAAACGTTGAGTTTCTATCGCGCGGCGTGTACGTGTGATGTGGTTGTTGTGGAGTATGTGGCTTGCATCTACTTCAGTCTTCTGGTTTGTCTTTCTCCCCCACACTCCCCCCCACCCTGCTTTTGAAACACTGGTCTCTCAGACGGCCTGCTGGGCACTGCTGCGTTGTTGGCTCGACTTTCAGGTGAGCATCCCATGGTGTCATCAGAGTGGTCGCTGCATCCCATGGTGTCATCAGAGTGGTCGCTGCATCCCATGGTGTCATCAGAGTGGTTGCTGCATCCCATGGTGTCATCAGAGTGGTCGCTGCATCCCATGGTGTCATCAGAGTGGTTGCTGAATCCCATGGTGTCATCAGAGTGGTCGCTGCATCCCATGGTGTCATCAGAGTGGTTGCTGCATCCCATGGTGTCATCAGAGTGGTTGCTGCATCCCATGGTGTCATCAGAGTGGTTGCTGCATCCCATGGTGTCATCAGAGTGGTCGCTGCATCCCATGGTGTCATCAGAGTGGTCGCTGCATCCCATGGTGTCATCAGAGTGGTCGCTGCATCCCATGGTGTCATCAGAGTGGTTGCTGCATCCCATGGTGTCATCAGAGTGGTCGCTGCATCCCATGGTGTCATCAGAGTGGTCGCTGCATCCCATGGTGTCATCAGAGTGGTTGCTGCATCCCATGGTGTCATCAGAGTGGTCGCTGCATCCCATGGTGTCATCAGAGTGGTTGCTGCATCCCATGGTGTCATCAGAGTGGTCGCTGCATCCCATGGTGTCATCAGAGTGGTTGCTGCATCCCATGGTGTCATCAGAGTGGTTGCTGCATCCCATGGTGTCATCAAAGTGGTTGCTGCATCCCATGGTGTCATCAGAGTGGTCGCTGCATCCCATGGTGTCATCAGAGTGGTCGCTGCATCCCATGGTGTCATCAGAGTGGTTGCTGCATCCCATGGTGTCATCAGAGTGGTTGCTGCATCCCTTGGTGTCATCAGAGTGGTCGCTGCATCCCATGGTGTCATCAGAGTGGTCGCTGCATCCCATGGTGTCATCAGAGTGGTCGCTGCATCCCATGGTGTCATCAGAGTGGTTGCTGCATCCCATGGTGTCATCCGAGTGGTTGCTGCATCCCATGGTGTCATCAGAGTGGTCGCTGCATCCCATGGTGTCATTAGAGTGGTCGCTGCATCCCATGGTGTCATCAGAGTGGTCGCTGCATCCCATGGTGTCATCAGAGTGGTCGCTGCATCCCATGGTGTCATCAGAGTGGTCGCTGCATCCCATGGTGTCATCAGAGTGGTTGCTGCATCCCATGGTGTCATCAGAGTGGTCGCTGCATCCCATGGTGTCATCAGAGTGGTCGCTGCATCCCATGGTGTCATCAGAGTGGTTGCTGCATCCCATGGTGTCATCAGAGTGGTTGCTGCATCCCATGGTGTCATCAGAGTGGTTGCTGCATCCCATGGTGTCATCAGAGTGGTTGCTGCATCCCATGGTGTCATCAGAGTGGTTGCTGCATCCCATGGTGTCATCAGAGTGGTTGCTGCATCCCATGGTGTCATCAGAGTGGTCGCTGCATCCCATGGTGTCATCAGAGTGGTCGCTGCATCCCATGGTGTCATCAGAGTGGTCGCTGCATCCCATGGTGTCATCAGAGTGGTTGCTGCATCCCATGGTGTCATCAGAGTGGTTGCTGCATCCCATGGTGTCATCAGAGTGGTCGCTGCATCCCATGGTGTCATCAGAGTGGTCGCTGCATCCCATGGTGTCATCAGAGTGGTCGCTGCATCCCATGGTGTCATCAGAGTGGTCGCTGCATCCCATGGTGTCATCAGAGTGGTCGCTGCATCCCATGGTGTCATCAGAGTGGTCGCTGCATCCCATGGTGTCATCAGAGTGGTCGCTGCATCCCATGGTGTCATCAGAGTGGTTGCTGCATCCCATGGTGTCATCAGAGTGGTCGCTGCATCCCATGGTGTCATCAGAGTGGTCGCTGCATCCCATGGTGTCATCAGAGTGGTCGCTGCATCCCATGGTGTCATCAGAGTGGTTGCTGCATCCCATGGTGTCATCAGAGTGGTTGCTGCATCCCATGGTGTCATCAGAGTGGTTGCTGCATCCCATGGTGTCATCAGAGTGGTCGCTGCATCCCATGGTGTCATCAGAGTGGTCGCTGCATCCCATGGTGTCATCAGAGTGGTTGCTGCATCCCATGGTGTCATCAGAGTGGTTGCTGCATCCCATGGTGTCATCAGAGTGGTCGCTGCATCCCATGGTGTCATCAGAGTGGTCGCTGCATCCCATGGTGTCATCAGAGTGGTCGCTGCATCCCATGGTGTCATCAGAGTGGTCGCTGCATCCCATGGTGTCATCAGAGTGGTTGCTGCATCCCATGGTGTCATCAGAGTGGTTGCTGCATCCCATGGTGTCATCAGAGTGGTTGCTGCATCCCATGGTGTCATCAGAGTGGTTGCTGCATCCCATGGTGTCATCAGAGTGTTTGCTGCATCCCATGGTGTCATCAGAGTGGTTGCTGCATCCCATGGTGTCATCAGAGTGGTTGCTGCATCCCATGGTGTCATCAGAGTGGTTGCTGTATCCCATGGTGTCATCACAGTGGTTGCTGCATCCCATGGTGTCATCAGAGTGGTTGCTGCATCCCATGGTGTCATCAGAGTGGTTGCTGCATCCCATTCCGTTCCCATGGGGTTCGTCCATTCCTGTGTATCTAACTGCTTGTGACACGTCATAAGAACCCCCTATGAGTGCCTGCAGCCACTCCACATTCGCGTGCATGGATCCGCACGCTTTCCCTGCACGGTTGCACATGCGTGCCTTTCACTCTGACTGTGAGCACGTGCTCTGCCCTTGTCCCGCAACAGTCACAGGCACTGGTAGCCGCACATACACTCGTTTTCCAACCCTTTACACCTGTCCTCTTCCTGCACCCACCACCTCACACCTCTCACTCCTCTTCTTCCCGCCCCTCCCCTCTCGCTGCTCCCTTCGCAGGTCGAAGCCCACCTCTCCGCTGCCTCCTCCCCACCCCTCCCTCGCGCCCTCCCTTCCGTCTCCGCCGCTGCCGCTCGTGCTCTCGCCTTCATCTCCCCCGCTCCCTTCCTCTCCTCCTCCTCCGCCTCTTCCCTCGCCGCTACAACCATCTCCCTTGCACCATCTTCCTCATCATCATCAGCAGCAGCAGTGGCAGCGTCAGCAGCAGCAGCGGTGTCAACAGCAACGGGAGCGGCAGTGTGGCCGGCACCAGTGGCGGCACAGCAACCGGCTGACTTTGACGATCTCTTTCAGAAGCTCAGAACCAGGTCTGTGGCCTGCTGTGGCCTGCTGTGCTGCCAGTAGTAAACAGGTGGGCTGCGGAGGTCTGTGGCCTGCTGTGGCCTGCTGTGCTGCCAGTAGTAAACAGGTGGGCTGCGGAGGTCTGTGGCCTGCTGTGGTCTGCTGTGGGTTTCTCATGGGCTGCGGTTGTTTCTCCAGTATAACAGCCAGCAGATTATGCCTCCTGTTGTTCTCTCAACCTACCCGTTCCTTTTTCCATCCTATCCCCTCCCCCTCCACCCGTTCCCCCTGGATTTCCCATGCAGCCCCTCACTCCCCGATGGTGTCAAGCGCAGCAGCACCGAGCAGCACCACATGCTGCACACCAAGCCCACTGTCTCCTCCCCTTCTTCCCCCTTCCTTCCCACTCCTCGCCCCATTTCCCTCCCATGCAGCCCCTCTCTCCCAGACGCTGTCAAGCGCAGCAGCACGGAGCCACACCATGTGCTGCAGACGCACCTCATTCTCAGGAACGTTCCAGGAACCATCCAGGCGCTGCGGTCGTGGATCATCCCCTCGGTGGCTCCGTCGGGATTGGCTGCTTCTCTGGGCGGCAATGTGGAGAGCGAGTAGGTGCCCTTTCCCTCTCTGCTGGAGTTGCTTCTGAGAGTTTTCAAAAACATTATCCCGTCGATGGCTCCCTCAGGAGTGGCTGCTTCTCTGGGCGGCACTCCCGAGAGCGAGTAGGTGCTCCTCTCTGTTTCTCTTTCTCTTCCTCTGAACGAGTACAAGGCTGGCTCCTGCTCTCGCCGACAGTTTGGAGAGCGACTAGGTTTTTTCTAGTTGCACATGCATTCACCCCTGCTCAAATCAGCCCAGCTCAAATCAGCCCAGCTCAAGTGTGCTCGCATATGCACCCGCCACTCGGCATCAACACCCGCCACTCGGCATCAACACCCGCCACTCGGCATCAACACCCGCCACTCGGCATCAACACCCGCCACTCGGCATCAACACCCGCCACTCGGCATCAACACCCGCCACTCGGCATCAACACCCGCCACTCGGCATCAGCACCCGCCGCATGTGTCATAATGCGCTTGACCCACCGGCTGCTGCTGCTGCTGCTGCCCCTGCCCCATGCTCCCATCCCCGTTTGCCACAATGCTGCGTTCACACTCCCCTGCTTGCCCCGTTTTCGGGCCTCAACCCCCTGCTCCACCTGCCCCGTTTACTACCTCATCTCCTCCTTCCACCCCCTTGCTTTCCACTCGCACAATCCCCTGTCCTCCTCCTTCCACCCATTATGCCCCCTTCTTTCTCCCCTCCCAGCTCCGACCCTGCCCTGGTGCGGTGTGGCGCCCACCTGGTGGTGCTTCTGCGCTCCGTGCTCCCCGCTGCTGCTCGCCAGCAGTACAGGGACTGGCTCAACACGTCAGGCGATGTCATTCTGTACACGTGAGTGTGGCTGGCAGCATTTTGCTTTGCAGGTACATCAGGTAGATCTGGTGCACTAGGCGCATCATCAGCTGCCCGCCAGCAGTACCGCGACTGGATCAACACATCGGGAGATGTCATCCTGTACACGTGAGCATAGTTGGCAGGCAGCAGCATGCATGTGTGTCTGTCAGGTGCATCTGGTGTATCATCACATGCACCTACCACCAGTACAGGGACTGGCTCAACACATCAGGGGACGTCATCCTCTAAACGTGAGTGGGCCTGGTGCAGGTGATAGGTGGTGCAGGTGATACCTGGTGCAGGTGATAGCTGGTGCAGGTGATACCTGGTGCAGGTGATACCTGGTGCAGGTGATAGCTGGTGCAGGTGATACCTGGTGCAGGTGATACCTGGTGCATGGTGGCCCTTTTTTCCGATTCTCTTCCTTATTCCTTCAGTCTCTCCCCCTCTCGCTCTTGCATAGTCTGTATGCTCCCAAATCGTCTCCCCATCCCATCAGCTATTGTGTGCTGCTGCTGTCAGCACACCGCAGGGACCATCTCACACCGCTCCATGCCTCTCTGCTCCTCGCGCCCTCCCTTGCTTCCTCATTGCCCTATTCTCTCCCCACTCCCATCCCCCTCATCCCATCAGCTACTGTGTGCTGCTGGCAGCGCAGCGCAGGGACCATCTCACGCCCTCTGCGCCTCTCTGCTGCTCACGCCCTCGCTTCTTTCCCCGTTCCCCAATGCTCTCCCCACTCCCTGCCCCCTCTCATCCCATCAGCTACTGTGTGTTGCTGGCAGCGCAGCGCAGGGACCATCTCACACCGCTCTACGCCTCACTGCTGCTCACGCCCTCCCTCACCTCTGACTTCTTCCTTCAGCTATTCGAGCAGCGCAAGACAGACAGGTGCGTGCATTGAGTGATGGGGATGGTGTTTGTGCTGGTTGTTGTCATGGTAGTGGCAGGTGGTGGTACCATTGGCGCTGCTGCTGCTCACACCCTCCCTCGCCTCTGACTTCTTCCTTCAACTCTTTGAACAGCGCAAGACAGACAGGTTCGTTCCTGTGGTGGTGGCTGTGTGTGTAGTGGTGGTGTTTCTGCTGCTGCTGCTGCAGCTGCTGCGAACGAATCTTGGGTCCCCTTTCGTTTCAGCCCCCTTCCATGAAAGGGGGCTGTTGGATGCTGCTGCTGCTGCTGCTGCTGCTGCTGCTGCTGCTGCTGCTGCTGCTGCTGCTGCTGCTGCTGCTGCTGCTGCTGCTGCTGCTGCTGCTGCTGCTGCTGCTGCTGCTGCTGCTGCTGCTGCTGCTGCTGCTGCTGCTGCTGCTGCTGCTGCTGCTGCTGCTGCTGCTGCTGCTGCTGCTGCTGCTGCTGCTGCTGCTGCTGCTGCTGCTGCTGCTGCTGCTGCTGCTGCTGCTGCTGCTGCTGCTGCTGCTGCTGCTGCTGCTGCTGCTGCTGCTGCTGCTGCTGCTGCTGCTGCTGCTGCTGCTGCTGCTGCTGCTGCTGCTGCTGCTGCTGCTGCTGCTGCTGCTGCTGCTGCTGCTGCTGCTGCTGCTGCTGCTGCTGCTGCTGCCAGCTCAGCATCCAACAGCCCCCTTTCATTCCATCCCCCTTTTCACTAGCCTCGTCGCGTTACTCTCACGCTTCGGTGCGTTGCCGTGGTGGTGGGGATGGTGGGTAGTAGTGGTGGTGGGGATGGTGGGTAGTAGTGGTGGTGGGGATGGTGGGTAGTATTGGTGGGGGGATGGTGGGTAGTAGTGGTGGTGCTCCTGCGGCAGCTGCTGCTGGCTAATTCAGTGCTATGGTGACTCAAGTGCTCCCTATTTAAAATGCCTTTTCAGATTTTATGAGGCCTTCACAAATCACTTAACCATTCCCAACGCACTCTTAATACGAGCCTCTGCTGCACACCGACCATTCCTTTCAACTCCCCATTCAACCACCTCTTATCTGAAATTCCCAGAAATCATTTTTTTTTTCGATTCCTCACTCTCGCTTTCCTGCTCCCTTCCTGTTCATTCCTTTCATTTAACCACTTGCCGCCTTCTGTCCCGCGTGTCACCAGTGTTGAGGCCAAGAGGCGAACAGTGGAGGCGCTGTGTCTGCACCTCCCTCTCTCCGGCCCTGACTCTGTCCCCACAATGCTCAACAGGTGTGCCCCTCTTTTCTCCTCACCCATTACATGCCAAACATCCTGAACAGATGCACAGGCACACTTACCCCTCTTTCCCCATCTGTTCTCTCTTGCCATAAGTCTACTTACCACCTGACATTTCCCACCCTTCTCCATCGGTTCTTTTTTAGACGTCTCGAAAACACCCTCATTTCACGTTTCTCTTCCCGCAGCTCATTTCTCCTGCCATAAGTCGTCTTATCACCTGACAGTCCCCAACCTTCTCCATCGGTTCCCCTCTCTCGCTCCCCTGTTGTTCCTCTCCTCTTCTCCATGCCCATCAACCATTTTTCCAAACCCCTTTGTTTCCCACATGGACACCATCTCCCCTTCTCATCCCCTTCCCCCTCTCCCTTCCCCTCTCCCTCCCCCTCCCCCTCCCCCTCCCCCTCCCCCTCCCCATCCCCCCCCCCTCCTCCCCCTCTCCCTCCCTCTCCCACCCCACCAGGTTCCTCTCCAAGTGCTCCCATTGGTCGGATCCCGGGGTCCTGCCGGCCTCTGATTGGCCGAGAGCAGTTCTGGCGGATCTGAGGGGACAGGTGGCAGCGTTTGAGTGGGCGGTGACGGACCCCACTGCCCCGGGGACAGTGGGCAGTGCAGAGTGGGGCAGTGAGAGGAGGAAGATGCAGCGACTGGCTCTGCAGCATGGGTGAGCTGGATGCGGAAAGAGAGAGGGGTTGCGGCAGTTGGCCCTGCAGCACCGGTGAGTTGTTGCAGGGAGAGGGAGATGAGGAGAGGAGGAAGATGCAGCGACTGTCCCTGCAGCATGGGTGAGTTGCAAGGGGGGGGGGAGAGGGCAGTGTGTGTTTGAGAGTTCTCAAACGCACCGTGCAGAGGGCAGTGTCTGTTTGAGTGGGTGGTCACGGACCCCACACTGCCCCGGCAACAGTGGGCAGTGCGGAGCGGGGCAGGGAGAGGAGGAAGATGCAGCGACTGGCCCTGCAGCACGGGTGAGAGAGTGAGAGGCAGAGGAGCAGCTAGAGGACAGGGAGGAGGGTGATGGAGAGGGTTGTGAGGGGTGGGAATCAAAAAATGGGTGATTTGTAAGAAACTGTTTGGATGGCATGGTGTGAGCAACAGTGCCTCTGAAATGGAATAACCTCACTCTAAATCCTCTTGCTTTCTCCTCTCCCTGCTCTGCCCTTTTCTCGCACGCCCTCTTTCCAGGAACCTTCTGCTGCGCGCCATGCTCCTGGCGGCACACGCGGAGGGCGGCAGCAGCAGCGGCAGCCCGTCCAGCCAATCAGGGCGCTCCATTGCCGCCCTGCTGGCAGATACAGTGGCGGGCATTCACACAGAGATGGAGGCGAGGCGAAGCCAGGAGGGGGCAGAGCGAGAGGAGCAAGAGGAAGAGGGAGATGAGGAGGAGGAAGAGGAGAGTGTGGAGCTCAGCGAGTTTGACTTCTGGGTACGTTGTGTGTTGTCCTCCTTTCCCCCTTCACCTCCACCTCCCGCCATCGTCTCCCCTTTTCCCCTTCTCTCCCCCTTCCCTCTTCCCGCTTAACCTCCACCTCCCCCCATCGTTTCCTCTTTCCCTCATCCTCTCCCTCTTCCCCCTTCGCCTCCTCCACCCCCCATCGTTTCCCCTTTCCCCTGTCATCTTCCACTCTCCCCCATCCCGCCCTCCACACTCCCTCCCATTGGTCCAGGTGGATTACATCGCTGCTGATGTGGCGTACCGTGGTTGGGCCACGGCAGCAGCAGCAGCAACGGAGCGAAGGGAAGAGCGGGAGAGGAGGGATCAGGAGCAGCAGGGAGCGGGTCAAATGGGGGGTGCAGGGCAGGAGGAAGGGGAGGCGGAGAGGGAGAAGGAGCGAGCAGACCTGTTATTGCTGGCCAGTCGGGCTGTCTCTATTGGCATGCAGCTGCTGCAGAGTACGTCTTTCTCTGCTCCCTCTCCATTCCATCTTCCTCGTTCCCTTCTTCTTGCAACGACCTCTTATCTCTAGCTAGTCGGGCTGTCTTTATTGACATGCAGTGCTGCAAAGTATGTCAAAACTGTTGATGTGCCTCACAACCTGTGCTGGCAAAGTATGCCTTTTTCTTGGTTTTCAAAGCAACCCAAACCACACAATCTCACTCAAAATCCGTGTCAACTTCATTCCCTCACAGCTGCTTCAAAGTATGTTTCCCTACGTGCTCTCTCTTGAGAATTCTCAAAAGCTCTCTTCTCCTTCCTGCTGTGCTGTCACCCGCTCTCCCCTTCCACCCAACCTCTTCCTCTCTTACTTCCTCCCACCCACCATCCCCAGGGGAAGCCTCATCAACCATGCGGCTTCAGGTCACCCCACAGCAGCAACCGCAGCAATCACACCAGAACCAGCAGCAGCAGGGCGGCAGAGAGCATGTGGTGGTGGCGTGTGTGGCGGTGCTGGCCCCCTCAGGGGCTCTCGTGCCCGGCGACGCCTCCCTGTGTGCCGCCATGCACTCAGCGCTCATGGCGTGCGTGGGGGAGCGAGAGGCAGAGGCGCGGCAAGTCAGGGTGAGTACGGTGGTTTGGAAACCAGTGCTGAGCAGCAGTCTCCTGTGATGCTCCGTGCTCTCGCTCACAGTGATGCCTCTCTGTGTGCTGCCATGCTCTCGGCACTCATGGCATGTGGGGATGAGAGAGGCAGAGGCGCGACAAGTCAGGGTGAGTACTCAGCACTCGGCACTCATGGCATGTGGGGATGAGAGAGGCAGAGGCGCGACAAGTCAGGGTGAGTACTCAGCACTCGGCACTCATGGCATGTGGGGATGAGAGAGGCAGAGGCGCGACAAGTCAGGGTGAGTACTCAGCACTCGGCACTCATGGCATGTGGGGATGAGAGAGGCAGAGGTGCGACAAGTCAGGGTGAGTACTCAGCACTCGGCACTCATGGCATGTGGGGATGAGCGAGGCGGACGCGGACGCACGGCCAGGTCGACGTGACAGCACAGCGCACCCCTCTGACCCCCTTCCACCATATCCTCTACATTCTCTGCTGTCCCCCCTTCCCCCTGCCCGCCCCACTTCCCCCATCTCCACTTCGTAAACGTCTCTAGGTGGACGTGGCAGCGCACCCCTCTGATGCGCGCCTTCTCACGCTCGCCTTCGCTGGTCCCCTCTGCTCACTCCCAACTCGTCCCCACCCTTCCCCCCCGTGCTCCCCCACTCTCGCACTGCTCCCCCTCTTCGTCCCACAGGTCGACGTGGCAGCGCACCCCTCTGACTCGCGCCTGCTCACACTCGCTACCACCCTCATCTCCCCCCTTACTCTCCACCTCTCCCTCCGTCTCTCAGGTCGACGTGGCAGCGCACCCCTCAGACGCGCGCCTGCTCACACTCGCCATTCGCTGTCTGGGGACCGGAGGAGAGGAGGGGGCGAGTGAGGCAGTGAGTGTGGATGTAGAGAGCCCTGCTGTTCGCATCATGGCTCGTGTTGTCAAAGGTGCGTTTTGATTCCTGTGTACAAGCGCAAGTGAACAGGCAAACGGGCAAGCAGCAGTGACGAGCGAGTGAGGGAGGGAGTGAGTGTGGATGTGGAGAGCCCTGCTGTGCGCATCATGGCTCGTGTTGTCAAAGGTGCGTTTCTCCCATCTCGCTCGTCTTTCCCCTAACCCCTCCCCCCCCCCCCCCCCCTTCGCGACTGCCGCCACACTGACCCTGCTGCTCTCGTGCCATGCACTCACTCTCTCCCCTTTTTCCACCACCCCCGGTTATTTCTCTGCTCCCTCTCCCTCGCTCCATTCCTGCCTACCAGCGAAAATGCCTCTAATGGACCCTGCTGCTTGCATGCACGTGATGCACTGTGCACTGCTCATGCACTCACTCCCTCTACCCCCTCCCCCCCCCCCCCCCCCCCTCTCTCTCCCTCTCCCTGTATCCCACCCAGCGGAACTACCTCACATGGACCCTGGTGCTCGCATGCATCACTACTGCTCGCATGCATCACTACTGCTCGCATGCATCACTACTGCTCGCATTCCCTTTTTTGTTCTTTTGCTTTAAGCCTAGCTTCACTACTGCTGCTCCCTGAGAATTATGTCTGAAGATCTGCTCGCATGCACGGGGTGCACTGTGCTGCAAATAAGCACTCACTCTCTCTCTCTTCCCCCCCCACCCCCCCCCCCCCCCCCCCCCCCTCCTCCTTTTTTTCTTCTTTCCTTGCTCTCCCTCTCTCTCCCTTTCCCTGTGTCCCTCTCAGCGGAACTACCTCACATGGACCCTGCGGCTCGCATGCACGTGGTGCGCTGTGCTGCCTTCACCAACCCACCCACCCACCGCCCAAGCCTCTCCCGAACCACCGCTGACAGCTTTGGCACCATAGCAGCAGCGGAGGCTCGGGGTGCTGAGCCTGCGCCGTGGCTCATGCGCCGGCTGTGCCGTGTGTGCTGCCTTCCCACCCTTGCCTTGCGCTGCCAGGAGGTGAGTGTAGCTGTGTGTCTCTCTTATCTAGTATGAATTGTATGGGTTGGTGTCTCCCTATGTCTATGTGTATGGGGGTTGGGGTTGGTCTACAACTCGTTATGTTAAGTTGGTCTGCAACTCGTTATGTTAAGTTGGTCTGCAACTCGTTATGTTAAGTTGGTCTGCAACTCGTTATGTTAAGTTGGTCTGCAACTCGTTATGGTAAGTTGGTCTGCAACTCGTTATGTTAAGTTGGTCTGCAACTCGTTATGTTAAGTTGGTCTGCAACTCTTTTATGTTTACATGCATGGGTTGCATTCGGCGTATCGATGCGAGTGTCTAGTACATGCATCTGTTCCCGTCATAACTCAAGTCTGTATCCAATCTCCACCCACGTTCCATTATTGTCACAATCGTTTACTGCAGGTGCGGGTGTTTATGGCGCAGCAGCTGGAGCCATCAGTGCATGTGGATCCAGCAGCAGCAGCAGAGGTCATGGAAGCAACTGATGTGGCGGCTCTGGTGGCCCAGGGCACGCTGCATCAAATCTTCACACCCCAGCAGCTCCAGGTGGGTCTCGTCTGTGGAAAATACTATTTGTACCACATTTTCTGGCAGTTTTCTTTTCACTTAGTTTTTCTCCGCTGTTTGTGTGACATTTGTTGTGCCTGGCTCCTCTGTGATTTTTTTTCTCTTCAGAAATTATTACTTATGGAAAGGGAGGTGGTTCTCAGCTCCATCAACCAAGGGTAGTAGTCTGTATTGCCAAGTTCTGAGACATGACTACTGCTTTTATATATTCTTATAGGCTGGGTTTGATTACATCTGTAACTTTCTTAGTGTATGAACTGTTTTTGCGTGTTCTCACCAAGCTAATCAAAAGAAAGTCCTTCGAAGCTTCTCGAATTTTTGTTGGTGTTTTTTATTGGCTGGCGTGCGGCCATATCCATCTGCGACAGAGTCTGTCACCATCACGCGCCGTTATAGTATCCTATTGGTTACGCGTTTCTTGCAGAAGTGTGCGACACTGGTACTGAAATCGCATGCGACCCGTTCACCTGAAATGACTGGAAGAACAAGTTGACTGCTCAGAGCGCGATGACGGAACCGCACTCTGCGAAGCGCTAATTCATTCGCATTCGCGAGACGGGAGGAACAGAACAGAACAGATGCCACCTCCTCACAGCCTCTCCTTCGTTTGTTGTCTGTGATCAGGGACAGGGAGTCACCACGACTCGCGATCAGGCCTGTCGCTTGCAGGGCGTTTGCCCTGCTGGACCTTGAATTCCAGGGCTGGGTTGCCCTTGAAAACTGAAATTGATGGGTTGAAAAAATTGTGGCCCTGATTCCTTACAGGGCTGATTTCGGGCTTAGGTCTGGAGTATTAAGGGTAGATTTTTTACGAGCCCTGGAACAAAATCTTTTCGAACTTGCCCTCCCACTCCTCTCCCCCTTCCCCCAAACTCCTCCACTCCCCCTCCCCCTGTTTCTATTTTGATTGCATTCAAACCTGTCTAATTTGGAGTTGCGTGGCTGGGCCACAGATTCAACTCAACATACAACTGGTACTTGTACCAATCATAACCTCGCTCCCATCCCACGACACACAGACAGTAGCGTGAACCAACATGCAGCAGCAAAACACATCTCAGATCCCCGTCATGCAGTGCACCAGCAGGCATGAATGGGTAGAGCAGCAGCAAAACACATCTCAGATCTTTGCTAAGAGTTGGAAGAGGGGAAGTCTGTACGCGTGCGTAGTGAATGACGCTACTAGTTTTTCTATTGCTAACTAGCCTATTAATACTTGCGGACTGCAGCTGTCAGCTTTGTGGTAGAAATGAGGCTGCAGAATTTTCCGCGCCAAACCTGATTTACAGGGAGAAATCAATTTCAGCCCTGAAGCCTAAAGGGCCAAATTCGCCCCGACCCTGCTAAATACAGGGTCGTACATGCCGGGCCCCCTGATTTTTCCGGGGGGCCCAAAACGAAACGACAGCCCTGCTCGCGATACCACTACATGACCGTCCAGCATCACCACCACACCACTTGTCAGATAAACTGAGAGTGCTGTTCGTCACTCACTATGCTTCCACTGAAAACACTCGACGAGGTTGTTCAATCTAACTGGTCTTTGGCATGTCGAAAGGCGGGACACAATTCCTCCGCTTATTCTTCGACGAAAGTTCCTCGCAACTTGAGCCAGATTTGCACTATCAGCGAAACCTCACCTCACTTGTTAAACATAGGCATTGTCGTTCACATAAAAGCTCTGTGCTCAGATACGGCAGTAACCCCAGTGGAACAGATTAACAGTGGCTCTGTCGAAATTTAATCCATACCTCGGATACAGCGGTATTTCTATTTCTTGCGGTTCAGGACTTCGTCGTCTTTTTCCATTCTATTTCGTCCTTGACTAACACGCTCAACTCCTAGATTGCAGCCATGGGAGAATCCGCATTATCGCCTCCATTAACACGCCGCTTGTTTACGCATCGCGCAGTTGCTCTCCTTTGCCTCGCGTCCCTTCCACTGCTCTCTCTCGGTAAGACCCGATATGCCTATCCCTGCTTCGTGAAGCTCGAGCCTTGTGAGACAGGTTGTTTGTGTATTTTTTGAAAAACTCGGCCTTTGTCTTGCTGCCTTTCCACTGCTCGCTCTCGGTAAAGCCCGATGCGGGGATCCCTGTTTCACTCTAGCACTACCTTCTTCCGCCCATTGCTTTCCGCAATTCGCGTACTCCCTCGGGCTGACGGAACCGAACGCGTCTCAACTTCCGCGCAATCTTGTCACGCCCTTCACCCGTCCTTCTCCGCTCGCTCTCAACCAGATTCCCACCCTCCCTTAGTTGAAATTCCCGTCCATTTATATTCAGACCCCGCCGCCTTCCACCCCCCAATACACCTGCAGAACCACGTCGCCTTCCATCAAATTATACTGACTTGTAGTTCTCACGTTTCCCCCGTCTGTCGTTCTACCCCGTTACAGCGAAGAGCTCGTCGTCGTCCGATTTCCTCCCTCCGCCGCCCTCCTGGCCCGAGGAGTACGCGGGAGTTGCGCCGCTTCCGCGAGACGACTCCGCCGCCACCTTCCACGTGGCGGACTATGGTGCGCAGCCCGACGGCCGCGGGGATAGCTGGGGCGCCTTCCGCCGCGCCTTCGACGCCGCCTGCAAGCTCGCGGAGGCGGAAAGCGTGCGCGTCCGCGTGCTCGTCGCTCCGCCGTCCGCGGAAGGATCTTCCGGGGGGAGCTCTTCCGCGGGGGGATCATCCAAGGATGGCGGTAGGAAGGATTCTGGCCGAATCGCTAGTACGAAAAGCACCAACGGCAGTGCCGCTGGCAACGGAATTGACACTACACTCGGGAACGACTCGTCCGCGAATAGCGATCCCAACAATACCGCGGATAACATGCCTCATCTGCCGACGGTCGCGGACGTCACAATGCCGGACGTTAACGTTAACGTCAACGTCGACAATTCGATTGCTAACGTGGACGCGTTGAAGGGTTCCAGCAGCGGAGGCGGCAACGGCAACGGCGGGGGGGTAAACGGAAGCGGGGGAAGCGGAGCAAGCGGCGCGCACGTGGTTAGCGATACGATGCAGTGGCTGCTCAACCATCGCGGATTGGCGCAAAAGAACCACGGACTGACGGAGAGGAGGTTGGGGGAGCAGAGGCGCGGATTGGCGGAGCGGAACCGTGTGCTGGCGGAGCGGAGCCGAGAGGCGGACGGGAACAGCGTCAAGTACTATCTCAGCCGTTCGATCACGGTGAACGGATCGTGCGGCGCTGGCTTGACGCTGCAAATCGACGACGCGACGATCTACGGCCCAAAAACCGCAGAGGGTTATCCCGAACCGTCGCTGTACATTAACGAGGACAAGATCGGCGTGGCGAGTAACGGCATGTTCCGGTTCCTAGGGGTGACGGGGCTGGTCATACGCGGTAGTGGCAGCCTCGACGGCAACGGCGAGGGGTACTGGGATACCGAGGCGCACGACCGGCCGCACCTGCTGTCGCTGATCAACTGCCGCGAGGTCATTCTCGACAGCGTAGCGCTGCGGTGAGTAGCGTATCCCGACCACCTGTTGAGTGGCATAGCTGGGTGGAATAGCGCTGCGGTGAGTGGCATCCTGTTGATCCTGTCACCTGGGTGGAATAGCGCTGCGGTGAGTGGCATCCTGTTGATCCTGTCACCTGGGTGGAATAGCGCTGCGGTGAGTGGCATCCTGTTGATCCTGTCACCTGGGTGGAATAGCGCTGCGCTGAGTGGCATCCTGTTGATCCTGTCACCTGGGTGGAATAGCGCTGCGGTGAGTGGCATCCTGTTGATCCTGTCACCTGGGTGGAATAGCGCTGCGGTGAGTAGCGTCCTGGTGCTGATCGTTGTAGCTGATTAGCATTAGGACGCTGCGGTGAGTAGCGTGAGGAAGAATCTTTTCCAAGGACCTCTCGTCCAAGAATCTTTTCCAAGGACCTCTCGTCCAAGAATCTTTTCCAAGGACCTCTCGTCCAAGAATCTTTTCCAAGGACCTCTCGTCCAAGAATCTTTTCCAAGGACCTCTCGTCCAAGAATCTTTTCCAAGGACCTCTCGTCCAAGAATCTTTTCCAAGGACCTCTCGTCCAAGAATCTTTTCCAAGGACCTCTCGTCCAAGAATCTTTTCCAAGGACCTCTCGTCCAAGAATCTTTTCCAAGGACCTCTCGTCCAAGGATTGCAGATTCTCTTTCGTCGCCCCTCTGGTCTCTCTCCTTTTCCCACCCCGACCCAACCCAATCCCCCGCAACCCTCCATGTGCTACAGTTATCCCGACCATATCCCCTCTCCCTAGCACTTCCTCCCGCCCTCCTCCCACTGCTCGCCTCACACCCCCGCTGCCCAACCACACGAAGCCCCCCATGCCTTCTAATACGGCACCTCCCCCCCCCTCTCCCCGCTTCCTCTGCGCCTCCACCCATCCCCCCGCAACGTCCCTATGTGCCACGTCTTCTCTTCTCCTGTGCCATCCCCTCGCCCTTCGCCCTTGCTCCCCCGTTCTCGCCCACTCTTCGTCCTCATTCCGATTCCCCCCTCCCCTTTCTCGGCCCTCCTCCACCCATCCCCCCGCAACGTCCCTATGGACCATGTCTTCTCCTATGGCATCTCCTCGCCCTTCTACCCCTGCTCCCCCCTTCCTCATTCCCCCCTCGCCTCCCCCTCTTCCCCCTCCCCCCTCTCTCTTCCCCATCCCCCAGCAACCCCCCGATGTACCACGTCTTCTCCTGTGTCGCCGTCTCCCCCTCCTCACCCCCTTCTCGCCCCTCCTCTCCCTTCCTCTGCCCGCTCCCCTCCCTCCTCCTCCCCCATCCCCCAGCAACCCCCCCATGTACCACGTCTTCTCCTACGGCATCTTCTCCCCCTCCTCACCCTCTCCTCTCCCCTCCTCTCCCCTCCACTTCCCCCCTCTCCCCGATCCCCCCCCGCGCCTCCCCCCATCCCCCAGCAACCCCCCCATGTACCACGTCTTCTCCTACGGCATCTTCTCCCCCTCCTCACCCTCTCCTCTCCCCTCCTCTCCCCTCCACTTCCCCCATCTCCCCGATCCCCCCCCGCGCCTCCCCCCATCCCCCAGCAACCCCCCCATGTACCACGTCTTCTCCTACGGAATCGACAGGCTGTGGGTGAGGAGATTAACTACCAACGCGCCAGACGAGTCGCCCAACACGGACAGCCTGAAACTGCTCGGCGTGCGCCACGCGCTCATTGAGAATTGCACCTTCCACGGAGGCGATGATGACGTGTCACTGGTGGCACGTGGCAGCCAGGCAGTGGCCAACGTGACGGTCCGGAATCTGATTGCCACGTCAGGGCACGGGATCAGCATTGGGAGTTTGGGAGCAGGGGGGGCGGTGGCGTGTGTGTCGGATGTGAGCTTCAAGGATTTGATTCTATCGGATTTGTCGAATGGGTTGAGGATCAAGACGTGGCAGGGCGGCTTGGGAATGGTGCGGAATGTACAGTACGAGAACGTGTACATGACAAACATCGAACGAGCGATTACACTAGATCAGGTAAGTCCGACTCTGCACCTCCTTTCTCAACCCGCACTACTCTGCGCCGCTTTCTTTCGAAATCCTTGATTCCTGCTCATGCTTTGCTGTGTGTCTCACTCTCTTTCGCACTCTCAAATCTCCGCAACACTACTCTGATGGCAAGTCCACAAACAAATCGGCAAGTTCCATAGTGGTCCTCAAACCCCCATATGTGTCTTTTCCCCTCGACTCTACTGTGAGGACAATCAGGACTTCCCCTGCGACCCATCGCCCCGCAGCGTGGCTCTGCTGTGATGGCAAGCCTGCAAAAAGTTCAGCAAGTGCCAAAAAGTGCAAAAAGTTCAGCAAGTGCCATAAAGTGCCAAAAAGTGCAAAAAGTTCAGCAAGTGCCAAAAAGTTCCTCAAACCCCCCCTCGTGCCCTTTTTCCTCTCATCCCCATCAACACTTTGCAGTTCTATTGTGACGACAATCAGGACTTCCCCTGCGACCCATCGCCCCACAACGTGGCGCTGGTGAACATCTCGTACACCCATGTGTATGGCACCGCCTCCAAGTGAGTGGCTCCTTGCTCCACCAAATACATATCTTTCCAGTCGACTCAAAAGGCGCCTTATGAGTCATCCACAGCATTTAATCGTCAACGGCACCGCTTCCAAGTCAGGGGCTCTCCAGCACCTTCTCTCTTCGTGCCTCCCTTAAACCATCGTGCTGCTGTGATCCACTCGTCCATAGTCACATGCCAAGCAAGCTTGTGCTGACCTGGTACAGTGCTCTGCCGCATTCCCTTCTCCATTCCGTTACTGCAGGTATGCGATGGATATGGAGTGTAGCGATACGGTGCCCTGCACTGGGATCTCCCTCAACAATGTCAAGCTGGGGGGGACAAGCTCAAGCACCAAGGAGCCTGTTTTCAAGAACATTCTGTCGAGCCATGCTGTGGGTGATGTGGCTCCCTTGGCAGAGGACATGACATCTTATGAGGAGTGGGGTGTGGGTACACCTACTGACGAGCAAGTAGCGAGCATAAAAGAGATGATGGCAAAATGCACGTGATCATGGTCTACGGCTAGAACCGTTGCCATGCTGTACCATAATCCGGGGGTTAGGATTGAATATGGTAGACCAGCCATCATCACATTCTGATATGATGCACGAACTTTTAGACAAAGTGGAGCATGTAGTTTGAGTTGCAGGCCCATTCGTATACTCTATTATTATTATCTTACTGTACGTCTGATTAGGGTTGATCACTAACACACATGCAAAAGTTATGGCCTGTATAAATGTGAGACATGGCACACGGGAGGGGACTTTCTAGGACAAGATTAAGTATGTAATCAACGTCCATGATGTGGCCCGTTAACTTGCGATCACACCAGCTACCAGCGTTATATTTATTTATCTGGGAGCATAACAGAAGGTATTTTACCAGCACAGCACATTGGCAATGGTCTTTACATAAATAGGTGTAGTTTAGACATTCAATCAGTTCGTGCACGTGCTCAAAGAGAGTCCGCCTATAACGAGATTGATCTCATCGGGCTGCAAGGTCGAACACGAAGCCCAAAAGCTCTGTCCCCAAAAACCCCAACACCTCGTCCTCACCCTGACAAACAACTCCCCCCCCCCCCCCCTTCCCCTCGTGATTTTCCCCTGCATTGTCGCACTTTCCGCATTCTCCGCGCAAACTCCCTATCCGCCAGCTCTCCCATTTCTCCCCCCCGTAGTAATTCCCCCCTCGCCTGCTACACATACCTCTTCCCGCATATTCTAGGATCCTTTCGGACCTTTTTCTTCCTCTCGGGTCTCCGTATCTCCCGCACGCGCAACTGGCGCTGCTGCAGCACTTTAAGTACCACTCGTAGCCTTTCCCTTTCCCAGTTTAAGGAGAATATAAGAGCCGCAGCCATGGCGGAAGCAAAGGCCTGCACCGTGCGGACGCGCAAGTTCATGACCAACCGTCTGCTGCAGCGGAAGCAGTTTGTGAGCGTCCTCCCCGGCCCTGTTCCTTCCTTATTAACGCGTTTACTCCGGGTTAGGTTAATCGTAGTAAGCTTGGTTTGGCCTGTAGGCGAATCATGAGCACAGCCGACCATACTTCGTGGCGCGAGCACAATCAAGCATAGTTCGTGGCGCGTTTTGCCCGTTAGCCTTGGCCCTGCGACGTTGTGTCGTTTGAAGCTTAGGTGCGCTAGCCACGGAGCCATCAGTGTGCGCATAGCTCAATGGGAGAGCGCATTATTCTCCCTGCCTGTGTGATCGATCAGTCGGCTGTAGTCTAGACTCGGGAGTGCAGGCTTGGAGTAGTTTCGATAACAAATTCGATTCTTGTTCTTACCGTTTTTGCACACGGGTGTGGCGCGAGTGACGCGCCGTCGCGTAATTTGATGAAAAAGTATCGCAGAGCCTCACGGTCGCATCTTTTAGGGTTCGTCGTAGTCGCAGGAGCGTTCGTTTTGAGGTCGATCGTAGACAGCGGCGTGTTGGCGTCTGAAGGCATAGTCCTCGGTGTGATTCGTCACGTTCAAGGTTGGGGCGTGGCGTTTCGAACCCTAGTAATGCTAGGGCTCTGCGCAAAGGAGTGTATTAGTGTTAGCGCCCACAATGGAGTATGCGGCGGCTGGTTCAGATGGGCAGTGCAGCTCTGCATTCGAAGATCTGTTAGGTTACAGATTTACGGACCGCATAGTGGAATTGTCATTTAGGGCAGCTGGGGATGTAGCGTCGACGCGAGGGTGAGCGTACGAGACGAGCACCAGTTTCGTCAATTTTAGCCGAAATACATTATTTTAGGGTTCCGCTGTCACGCGGCTAATGAGTACCGGAAGCGATCAGGGCTCACCTGTCGTTCCCTTTCCACACTCCTCTTACCCCGTGTGACATGCGTTGTGGCGACGTTCTCAAGTCGGCTGTAAAAACCCCTGCCCGTTTCTAGGTTGCCTCATGCCTATTTACTCTCGAAAAAAAACTCATCAGAAGCTGGGGCATGCCTATGTTTCCGGGAAGGCCAGATTTACCCTTCGCAACTTGACCCTCCCTTTCCGTTGCCTTTATCGTTCCAATCGCTGCACCCACCGCTTTTGCGTTATACTCGCTTAGCAGACACTTTTTACCCCCTACCCTACCCCCACTCCCCTTCCTATCTCCTCCTTCCATTCTCCCCCTTCCCTCTTCGCACTCTCTCCCTCCGTTTGCTGAGCATTCGCCTCTTCTCCCTTATGTCGGGCTATCCCTTCTCACGCCGCTCTCCCTGTCTTTCCTGCGCCCCCTCCCGTGCGTCCGCCGTGGCAGATCATCGACGTGTTGCACCCCGGCAAGGCCAACGTGTCCAAGGTACACTCCTCCCCCGCTCCCCGCGTTTCTCTGTGTGCCTCCTCTGCAGCGCGATTTACTCTCCCCTGCTGCGTGCTCCATTCTCACCTGCTGCGTGCTCCATTCTCAGCTAGGGCCGTTCCCGCTTTGCAGTCCTCACCCCTTCCTGCCATTTATACCGCGTCCCTACTTGCGCAGTTTGTCATTCTGTTTCCTGCGTTTCATCCGTCCCTATCCCCTCCTGTCTCACTTGCCTATCTCTACTTTCCCTTCACTCCCCCGCTTTCCTTGCGCCCCTGTTTCTCCGCGCATCTTCTCTCCACAGCCCCGTCCCGTTATAATGTCCGCCCCTGCCCCAGTTCCCCCTCCCGTCTCCCTTGCCCCTCTCCACACTTCTCAACCCCTTCACTACCCCTCGCTTTTGCGCTTCTGCTTCTCCCCGCACCTTCTCTCCACTGCCCGTCCCCTTTGAATGTCCGTGCCCCACTCTATCCCCCCATTTCCCGCCCCACACCCCCCCTCTCCCCTTCTCCTCTTGTCCTCCCTGGAGTCGTAGTTGATCAAAATCACATCCCTCTGTTCCGGTTCCCCATCCCTCCCCCCTCTTTCTCTCCCCTTCTCTTTCTCCCTCCCCTCCCTCCCATTTCCCCATCCCTTTCCCCGCCCCTTCCTCCTCTCTCCCCCCCGCCCCTTCCCGCTACTCCCCCCCCGCCGCTCCCTCCTGCGCTTCCGCCTCCCCTTCCGCGCGTCTCCGCGCGCCAGTCGGAGCTGAAGGAGAAGCTGGGCGCCATCTACGAGAAGAGCGACCTGTCGTGCATCTTCGTGTTCGGCTTCCGCACGCAGTTCGGTGGCGGCAAGTCCACGGGCTTCGGGCTCATCTATGACAACCTCGAGGCCGCCAAGAAGTTCGAGCCCAAATACCGCCTCGTCAGGGTGAGCAACCTAAAGGTCGTGGGTTCAATTCCGGTAGGAAACAGTGTTTTTTGGTAAATCTGTTTGGTGGTAGCAAGTCCACGAGCTTCGGGCTCATCTACGACAACCTCGAGGCCGCCAAGAAGTTCGAGCGCAAATACCGCCTCGTCAGGGTGAGCACTGAGCAGCTGAGAGGTCGTGGGTTCGAGTCCGGTAGGAGAGGGTGTTCTTTAGGTGAATCTACTGGCAGCAGCAAGTCCACGGGCTTGGGTTTCATTTACGACCAGCTCGAGGCCGGCAAGAAGTTTGAGCCCAAATACCGCCTAGTCAGGGTGAGCAGCTGAGAGGTCGCGGGTTCGAATCCTGTAGGAGTGAGTGTTTCTTGATGTTTATGCGAACGGGTAAGTTGAACGTGATGTAGACTTGAGATGTGCAAATGAGGTAATGGCGTCGTTTCCATTTCCACTGCTTTACAGTGGAGTGCCCACTCATGTTTATGAGGTATGAGTTGTCATTATGCAGGAATTACTAGTGCTCACTTATTTGCGAGCAGCAAAATCAATGTGGGCTCGCAAGTTGTCCTCCCCATGTTGAAGCTCACAATTCTTTGTAATGCTAAGTAACCACCTGGTGCTTTTTTCCCCCCTTGGCGTACCTCTTCCCTCTCTTCCCCAACCCCTTTCATGTGTGTATGCTTCTTCGGTGGTTGTTGCTGTGGTGGCCTTGTTTTGATTGGAACAGAATGGCTTGGAGGAGAAGAGGAACAAGGAGAGCCGCAAGCTGATGAAGGAGAGGAGGACAAGAGCCAAGAAGGTCCGCGGTGTCAAGAAGGTGAGTGCAGCAGCAACATCCCCCCCTTTTTTTGCTGTTTTATGCGTGTTCGTGTTTTTTTTTAATTGGGTTTGTTGAGTTTAAAACTTGCTGTCTACTAACATCCATAGTCGTGCTAATTATGTTCGTTGATGCAGACCAAGGCTGCCGCTGCTGAGAAAAAGAAGTAAGATAGTTGATACTTGTCCAGGACGAGCCACACTTAGGGCAATCAAGGACTGGAGGATATATCATGGGGTGACACAAAAGATATGCAGGCTGATCCTAGCATGGTGGCTGAATTGGCTTTCTTCCATATTGCTAGTTCTAAATTTCTTTGCAAGTGCTTCCCTCTAATCCCGTGATAACGTAAATTGAGCCGTCATTTATGGAAATCCGTTTAATTCTGAAATTTACATGCAAATTTCTGCTGCGTAAATTTTTACAAACATGGTTATCGTAACTATAGTGTGCGCGTGACGTGTTAGAAGTGAAAAGATCATGACGAAGCTTCCTAGGAGGTTTCAAAAAGAGTTCGAGCTGATTTGTAGGTTTAAATAACGGTTTAGTACGGTTTACCCTCGAATCCCAATCTTGCCATGGCTGAACCGCGTCTATGCCACAGAGCGGTGGTGTGTGTGTGTGTGGTGCGGTCATGTCGAGGCAGAAAACGACGCGCAGAACCACCATGCTGGGCACGAACCGCCAGAAGTCAGGGCAAGGTGCAGTCTGTTGGAAACAATAAGTCCTAAGTGCGCTTCTGTCGTATCAAAATCCAAGGTACCAAGCGAAGCAGTCCCAATCGAAGCATCGAGTCAACCTCGGAGGTTAGGGTAACCGCCTGGAGGTTACGAGAAAGTCAAAGGTCGCTGACCTTTGACTCGACAATTACAGCGCGACAGTTAAGGACACACAACTGACTCGTTACAGAGCAGTTGCCCGAGTCGCGCTATATCGAACCGCAACAGCAATACAGTTATCTATTCCCTGTACTCTTATATAAATCCTTGTATTTGCTTGTTTAATTCAATCAACTTTGCTCTCACACACCAGTGCAAGGTCGGTTCAAATTCTTCACTAAACGCTTCCGCTATTACAACTACTTCACCTAGAGTTATCCCTTGCAAAGATCCTAAGGGGCTATCTCAGCCCAACATGGTATCAGAGCAGACAAGGGAAACTCTACTCTTTTTTCAATATCATTACAAGACATGGCAACAAACAAGGAAAGGAGCTCCCCTAATGGCTCCTCGGGCACTACTCCTACTCCACCGTCAGCCTCTGGCCTGCAGACAGAAGAAGGCACGGCAACAAGACCAAGAGGAACGTCAACCGAGACCCCCATGAACCACCCTTCGGACTTTGACCAGAACATGATGGAGAAATTTTTCTCCTTCATGTCCTTCTACGAACAACACCAGCAGTCGGGACCTGCACAAACACACAACAGCAACAACGGAGCGACACCCATGAGTCTTGATGGGTCGTCATATGCGCGAGGAAACCAGCAGCAGCAACCTACCTTTGCTCCGTACGAGCGCGGGTCAATCAGCTTCGTGCCCCACCCGCAACCTTCACCTGGACAAGAAAGACCACTGGACGCACTTCAAGTTCAGTCGCAGTTTGCACACGTCTTAAAACTGCAAACGTCAAGACCCTTCGACGGCAAAGACTTCTTTACCTGGTCCTTTGAATTCGAGCTGATGATGGAGGGCGCGCAGATACTCGGCTTCTTCGACGGGTCCCTGCAGTATCCAGCCAACGGGACACAATATGAAAAGCAGCAGTATACGTATCAATCAATGATGGCGTATACAATCCTATTGAGGAATGTGACACCAACTCAGCAGCAGAACATTCGCTCTTACCGGACCTTCGGCAACTCGGCGGAGCTCGCGTACAGCCATCTGAAGAACCTGTATCAAGCAACAGACAGTGTAAACCAGAGCAGGTTAATGGCGCAGTTGACGACAGTCGAAATGAAACCAGGAGAAAAAGGACTGGCGTATATCAGCCGATGTCGCGAACTGCGCGACAAGCTGCTTCGATGCGGAGGGTCAATCTCTGAAGACGCCTTCGTGACAGTCATCATTGGTGGGCTTGGTCCTCAGTGGCGCGCCACCAAAGCCATTCTTCGAGCCCACGGAAGAATCTCTGAAGCTGCACTCTGCGCCGAAATACATGCCGAGCAGCAAGATATGGACCTGCAGGAAGAACGACACAGGAAGAAAACGACAGTATCAGAGTTCGCATTCCACACTCAACGACGACACAGCAATTATAACAACCGACAGCAGCAACCGAAGATAGTACCTCCCTTCTGCCACATCTGCAAGACTTCAGGGCACCCGCGCACACACTGCCCGAATCGTCAGCAATCAACGGCACCACAGCGACAACTTCGACCTTCAAGCTCCCAAATGGCTTCAACACAAGCAAGTGCGACGACCACTATTCAAGCTTCAACGACTTCACCCGGACAACCTGCACAAGGAGCAAGAAATATAATCAACTGCATGACGAAGATAACCGATTCATGTACAACCGAATCACCACCACACTACTCACCGGAAGAAGAGCTTGACAACAGAACGCCTCGCCGTGAGCTACTCCAGCCGAATCCAACGTACGCCGCCATCGCTCAAAGTGAACCGTCCGGCCAAGACACCTGGTTCTTGGACAGTTGCTGCGGGCAACACATGTGCTCGTCCGGGCGTTTCGTACAACGCGAACATCGACTCCAACGGGAAGTGATCATCACGGTTGCCAACAACCAAAACCTGCGCACACGAAGACAAGGAGTGGTACAGCTTCAGTCAAGAGAAACAAATGTCATACTGCACATGTCTAAGGTACTCATCGCTGAAGGACTCGGCTACAACTTACTGAGCGTTAGCCAGTTGATGGCGAAAGGAATTCATCTGGAAGCCGACAGCACGACCCAGGAGTTCAAACTTTACCACGGGAGAGGCGGTCTCTACATCGGGAAAGCAGTGCTGAAGAACAACGTCTTCGTCCTCGACTTCGTTCCTGACCTGGGCACTGCAGACAGCGACGCCATCGTGAATTTCACTGACTGGACACACCCTCCGGATCTCGACCCCGACTTCAGCCCAGGAGGCTTCTGGTACTCGCACACCATTCCTGAAGCAGAACGAACACGAGCATTAGCAACAATTCGACAATCAGCAGCAGTAACAACATCGGCAGCAGCAACAACATCAGCAGCAGTAACAACATCGGCAGCAGCAACAACATCAGCAGCAGTAACAACATCGGCAGCAGCAACAACATCAGCAGCAGTAACAACATCGGCAGCAGCAACAACATCAGCAGCAGCAGGAACAACGACACCAGTCATAGTCGACGAAGCACCACCAACACCCGCGAAACAGCTGAATCCGACTCAACGTGAAGTCCACCGAAGCGCCAACCTCGTCGCCAGCTTTTACTCCAACTCCGACGCATATCAGCGTTCACCTGGACACCGTGCCTCTGAAGAGATCTGGCACGCACGAACAGGACATCCAAGTAACACGGTTTTGAATAACACGATAAGAGCAGGAGTCCTTGACAAAGATTCTCTACTTCTACCCGATGGCAGAGAACTCCAGAAGGCACGAGGGACTTGCCTTATATGTCCCGAAGCTGACTTACCTCATCGACCGTTTGCTTCATATCACAACCCGAGCGCTCCAGCGTACGCACCACTCGAAAAAGTCTACAGCGACATCCTCTACAATCGCGAGCCAGGACAAGTCAACTACAACTACACCATCACCTTCATCGACGCCGCCACTCGATACGTCTGGCATCGCAACCTACCCAGCCGCGACATGGCGCTCGCAGCATTCGCCGCCTGGCTACCGATAGCAGAGAGAGAGTCTGGAACACAACTGAAAAAATTCCAGTCAGACGGAGGTGGCGAGTACACCTCTCACCGCTTCAAGCAGTTCTTGGCGGAAAGGGGGATCAAGCAACTCCTCTCCCTTCCTTACGCACATCAGCAGCAAGGTGTTGCAGAACGACTGAACAGGACCCTGCAGAACAGCATGCGCAAACTATTACGTGGCATGCGGCTACCCAACCACCAGTGGCCAGCAGCAATGGACCACGCTGTCATGCTACACAACTTGTTGTCGTCGTCGTCACTCCCGAACAACGCATCACCGCATCTGCTGTGGACAGGGAAGCAGGGCAGCACGAAAATGTTACGAGTTTTCGGGTGCATGGTACAGTACAGACCCCCAGAAGCACGAGCGGGAAGATTTTCGCAACGGGCACAGTGGGGACTACACCTCGGCACCGAGAAAAATTACAACGCATGGAAAATCTTCGACGTCCACACAAAGGAAACAGTAGCAGCACGTGACGTGATCTTCTACGAAAGACTCACCCTTCAGACGTACCTCGCCAACTTGCACGAGAATCGGGACCTCACCAGTGGTTTTCGTGGTGACCGAGCCTTCGCGTCAGCAGCGGACGAAGCAGACTGGGATGAACAGAACGTCGACAACGCCTCAGAAGAAGCCGG